CCCTCCCTTCGCGTCTGTAGTCTTGTGTATGTCATGATTTCGGACCACATATCACCCACTGCAGAAGCACAGACCCTGTTGTAAAGGCATACGGAACAACTATAGACTGAGAGTTATGGCATTAAGTATGGACGGGACATCTGGCTATTACACAACATGCTGACATACACTGCATCATGTTCACAAATACCCGGTGCTGAAAGAAAGCCAATCATGTGAGATGTCTTGCTGCAGTTATAGTGACTGACTTATTTGTTTTCTGACGGCACTTGATGACCTTCTTTGGCACGCGCTTCTCAATATATTTCACCTGCATTCAGTCAGGTTGAGATCCAGTTGCAGCAGCCCGGCTTCGCCCAAGTTGCTGGACGAAACTCTCGCAACTTGCACTTCATCACTGTTTTGACTGAAGATTGGATGGGGATCAAGAGACGAAAAAAGCATGCGGCTCCTGTTTCCAGCAAGGATGGAGTTTTGCCGAACTATCCGTCGAAAGGATGGCTTTGCCACTTCTTTCATGTGAGGCTTGATCGGCTTGATCTGTTTGTTCTTACACACGTCGGCCAAGCAAATTGTCTGAAACCATGCTTTTATTTGTTGTAATTCTGTGCAATCTGCTTGTTCACCTCAAGTGCAAGAACATGAACAAAGCACAAGCCGGGAAAACTCTGATGGCTCTCTCTCTCTCTCTCTCACTCTCTCTCTCTCTACTTGTATACTGACGCTGTTCCTCCATGAGTATCAGAGGACTGGCCCAAACCACCGATATAGATTTGCGTCTTCAGGGTGGACACACAAACTTCAGCGTGATGTTGTTAAAATCTGCTCTCATAGCTTTATATTTGAATTATGAAAAATTAATATCTATCTATATAAATGCACGTTATCTCTTCCAACCACCTCATAGTACATTCTGCATTGAATATGCCATCAACGGAACAAGGGTATACAGCACAAAAGTCGTTAAGCATATCTCGAGTCGATCAAACAGCTTCGAAGTGCTCTGTCAAACAGAATGGTCCGGTTCCCCGCTTCCCCACAAGCAGAATCTTCTGAATCTTGAAAGCTTCAATGTCTATTCACACGTTGCCGTCGGATCATCGTTATCCTAAACTGGCAATGGGCAAGAGCCATCATTGTCGGGCAAGCATCACTTTGTGTGCTTGCGGCTTGGCTCTTGGAGCTCTCAACACTCCTCGCAATTTCTCATCGTATGGACAATCTGAGAAAGAGTAACTAGGCTTAATGATGTTTATGCAACCTGATAGAAACACAACAGAAGTTGCCCCTGTCGCTGGGTCCAGGTGGATTCTGTACTTCAGATCGTATCTTCACACGGCCTCCTTCAGCCTTTTTGGCTCAGAGTGCCCTCCTGTAAAATCCAAAACACAAAAGCAACTGAGACTCAAAGAGAAAATAGGCCCTCCATTCATAAGAAAAATGAGGTTGTTAAGAACCAGACTAGCAGTGCTCCTTCTAAATTCAGGGTTGGGTTCACTATTGGTCTATATACTTACCTTCGCACACAGCGAACTGTCCAGTGTGGATCTTACCGGAAAGGCTTGCAAGCGCAACACGCCTAAAATGCCTCTGCTCTTCAAGCGCACTTTGGCGCACAGACTGTGAATTAGCCTGCCTGATGAGGCATGTTCCGCGAAACCATTAGTAGTAAATGCTCCACTCCCTTTGTCTGCAATACAACTCTGCGTGGATCAAAAAGAGATGCTGAGAATGCCTAGTGGAAGGGATGTTCTCTGTGCTCATTCGTCTCTCCGACGCAAAGGAGCTGTACCAGGACGTCGTGGCACCTGCCAATCAAGGGATCTACCAAAGAATCTGTTGTCGTAGTCCAAAAAGATTACAGTATGTATGTCTCTCAAAATGAGAGTGTCTGGTCCAATCTGAAGTCTAAGCAAGACCATGTCAATGACAGCGAATAATCAGGCTCTCATCTGGTATCGGCTGTATACAGCTTCGGAAGGGTCGACCTGCATTGAGCTTGGAAGCGTGGGCAGCACTGATGGCTTCTCAGTATGGATCTTGCCCTGAGCCACATCCACCTTAGCGACAGGAATCAAATCCCTCATCTGCAGCACCCACAAGGAGTGCATGATTAGTACTCTGAAAACCTAGACCTGATATAAACGACATTTCCCGTTTATTTCGGTTTCATCAAAACTGCTCCATCGCCTGCTTGTGCACGTCATGAAGACCCTTGCCAACACCCCGCAGGAGGTCATGCGCAACCTCCAACCTCTCCGACATGTTGATGACATCACCCTGCACGGCCACAAGGATTAGGAGACCTTTTTAACATGCAGTGTAACGATTCACACACCAAATCGACTTGAAAGTGGAACCAAAACAATTGGCGCACGAGTCATGCAGCAGTGACAGTATATAATTCACACGATTCCAGAAATTACCAGCTCTGCCTGCATATTGACCACCTCCGAGTTAATGTCGGTGAGATGTTTGGTATGATTCTGAATCTCCCTGTCCTTGGGTGAAGCAAACTTATCTCACCAATCTCATTCGCTGCTTCAAAAGCAATGCTGCACAAGCAACAAAAACATGTCCAGATCGATAGAGTTATTCCCTCACAGGTTCTTCTCCCTTTTCCTTTGAGAATGACTCACCTCCCACGGAAGCTCTAAGCCCTTCAAAGATGTATTACACTGACACGATCTTCCTTCTCCAAAATTAGTGAGAATTAGCCAAGATTCGACACTCTGTATTCGCAGCTCGACACGGGCAAGGCCAGCCTCATGCGCCTTCCAAACATAAATTGATATATCATAGAATCATATTATACAATATTATATATATATATATCATCAGACCGGAGATCCAAATGGTTCGTATCCAAGGCATCTTATGCCATCTATCACGTGCCCAGTCAGCCCCAGCCTGCAACTTGGGAACTGAATCCTTCCGAAAGTCGAAGAGGCTGTGAATCTCAGTTTCTGCTACTCGAGCTTGCTCCACTAGTCTGTCCTGCAAGGCATCTATGACTCTCGCTGATGAATTCATGTCCTTCAGCTACCAACAAACTTGTGCCATGCACATTGAACAAAAGGACTTGGATGCACTTGGGAACTACTTCTTGCATGTGGTCGTTGCAAAACCGGCTGGCGCTCGCTGTGGGATGATTGCATTCACTGCATTTGAGTTGTGTTTTTTTTTGTGGTGTGGGGCTTATACACTGGGTCTGTACCTACGCGGGTGCCTACGACTGGGCTCCCCTCTCAAGCAAATGCCTACGCGAGAGGTTCTCTTTGTTAGGTGCCTACGCGGGATGCCTACGCAGGGTACTGTCACCAACTTTAGTCACATCAGGTGACTCGAAAATAGAAGAGCTATATAATCCGCAAGTAGTGGCCCGATGCGACCGGGTCACATCAGGTTCCTGTTTACAAGGCGTTTACAGCTTTGCTACCGATGGCCAGATAGATTTTGTATCAAGCCGATCCAATTACAGTGTGGAAGCAGCAGCACATAAGCAGCGCACAACAAGCAGAAAACAAGAGGCAGCAGCAGCAGCAGCAGCAGCAGCCAAGCAGCAGCAAAAGCAGCAGCCAAGCAGTAGCAGCAGCCAATAGCTTCTTGCCTACGCGCTGCTTCCGCGAGCGCCTACGCGGCGCCTACGCGAAAATAGGTCCATTGATTATGGTACCAACAGGGTGCGCACAGTTGTAGCTCAAGAGCCGGTGTGCCAGACCAAGCACGATCAAGCTTTTGACCTCAAAAACCAATGTGCCCCCATAGCTTCGACAAACAAACTTCAAACATCCACTGTAGCCATGTCGTTACAATTCATTTTCATTTTCCTTCCCCACTGGAATTTGCAAGCAAGTGTCAAGTTAAACAACTACAAGCCAACATTATCTTTCCCCAAGACCCTTGAACAACTTTTAAAGAAGTCTGAATAAGAAAATTCAGGCTTTCATGAAAAGGGTGCCTACGCAAGACTGCCTACGCAAATCTTTCAACACCCACCTACGCAAAATGCTTACACGACGCCTACGCCCCAAGCAGAACAGCCTCCGCGACTTCTCAACAGTTCCCTTTTTGTATAAACCTAATCATTTGCAAAAAAAACGTGGCTCATTTGGGGGTGCTTTTGTTGCCTTAACTTTAGCAGGAATGAGTGCAATTCAATATTATTTAGAGCGTGTCGAATTCTTACGTGCTACCAGGTCTTTCTTTACGAAGCCACGCCTGAACGATGTTGTGCTCTGAGATGCGTGCCGTCGCCCTTCGCAGCTCTGTGTTGGTTGATGCCAGGTTGGTCTGGCGAAATCCGACTTGCAACTTCGCTCCGTCCAACGACTCCGTTGAATCAACCCGCCTCCAGTGTTCTGATCGCGCTCGAATTGGTGCGGATGTTGGTAGTCTTCGCGTCCAGCAGAGTCGACAAATCTGCAACACGCCTTGACTTGCTTCTGAAAACTGAAAGACACTTGTCCAAATACGAACAATCAAACTACAGTACTCTTGCTGCATGACACTCAACCTGGTGGGCCCTGGTTGTTCAAGAGTTCCATCTCCTAACAATCTTTACTTATATATTGAAGGGCTTGCTCTCATGCTGAAGCATGTCATAAGATCCTAGGAATCCGCGAATTTCAGCTGGGCCAAAGCCCGAGATTCGGGAGTCTTCCTTCAATCAGCTCATGGAATACATTTACCCAGTAAATACAATTTCAATGTATGAAGTCGTTGCTTCTTGCTTCCAGATTGAAATGGGACAAGCTAGGACCCTTCCCTTGCACCTACCTCGCCAAGTCATCATGAAGACCATTGGCAAGGTCCGTTAGCTCCACCTGATAGCATTCTTGCTCCTAGTAGCGATGCCAGGAGCCCCTAGTAGCGTCCTTGCTCCTAGGAGTAAGGCCAGGAGCCCCTAGTAGCGATGCCCTTGTTCCTAGTAGCTTCTTGTTGCCAAGCAAAGCATTCAAGATGCTTTCTGACTACTGAGTGCTCCAAACTGCCTTGGTCTGGTTCAAGCGCTGATTGAGCTGCTCCAGTTTGCTCTTGCGCTGGGCGGCTTCTTCATGTAAAAAGCTGGTCTGACTCGACGTGGTCTCCTCAGAAATGTTCTCTTGCTAGCAGTGTTGAGAAAAAGAGTCCATGCTGTGAACCTAGAACGAAAAGTCAAAGTCTGCTGAGGCAAGGTCCACTTTGGTCAATTTGTCTTTCTCCTTTACCGCTGGCCGCTGGTGGAAGAGGAGGGGCAGCTTTGAAGTGTGCAAGTTTATCCCATGTCTCTCTCTCTAGAAATGTATATATATATATACTGTAAAAGCA